TAAGGGTTCTATATGGGTAGTTCTCCAAATGAGGGTGCTACAAAGGGTACTATAAGGGGGTTCTATATGGGTAGTTCTCTAAATTAGGGTCCCGCTAAGGGGGATGGTGAGAATCAGTTTGGTTCACGGCGTGTTGAGGCTGTCAGGCTGTGTAGTTCTTCTTTTACCAGCTCTAAGGTCTTTCGGGCTTTAGAGCTTGCAGTGCTTTTCGCGTTTATGGTCCCGTGCGCCAAAGATAAAGACACGGGGTCTGTGTAAGATTCAGGATACCTAAACCCTAAGCCCTGAAACCCCAAAACCAGGCTTTTGGGTTTAGAGTCTGGGAGGCAGGCTGAAGGAGGAAAAGTTGAGGGTCAGAGGCTTGTCGTCGCCACGTTTTATAAGGCGTGTGCGGCTGTACAACTATGGTACCCCAAAATCTTGTTGACATTAGTGAGCACTGTTACTGGATCAGGGTTGGGGGAAACTTTCGGGCTTTAGGCCGAAGAAATGGCTGCACGCTCTTGGGAACCACGAATCCCACCAAGCAAAGGCCTGATTCAGGATGTAGGGTTGAGGCATCAGGGTTTTTGAGTTCAGTTTTACACAAAGGGAACCTTCGTCCTTCGACTGATTGAGATTGTCACGTCCGTGGGAGAAAATGCCCGCATCGACCAGAGGTGCTGAGATGCAACCGGTGGCATTCTGAGATTACCCTGGTCTGTGTGCAAGGTTTCAGTGTTCCGTTGTTTGCATAGCTCGGAGCTTCGTTGTTCAGAGTTCTGGTCTAAGATTTGGGTTCAGTTCAGGACATGTAGCCGAGTGCGAAATGTACGCTACTTTTGCTAAGGAGCCCTAGGACCGGACACATTGTCAGGATGTCCTGGATGTTTCTGAAATCCCGATGCCCACAGGACCATGATGATGCTGGCGATGATAGTAGCTGTATCCTCAACCCTCACAAACCCCAAGACTTTCAGCTGCATGCTTACATGAAGCAACTTGCGAGAAACCTTACGCTGTCATGCATCCCAGCCCGGACGTTCAATGAAGAGTCGTTTTTGCTGTGCATTCGTCAAAGACAGGGCTCCGTGGGTTTTGGGGCCGATCGACAGTTTGGGATTGGGGTAGAGGTTATGATATAGTATAAACACAATACACTGAAGACGGAACATGATAGAACATGGCACAATATGATATGAGAATGTATGATGTACCCAGAGGCCCCATAGTCGTTCCTTTCTGTGGCTTATATTTAGGATCCGATCAGGTAATCCCAAAAAAGAACTACTGTGGGGCCTATGGGTAGGCTTCTGGGTTTCGATTTGAGTCTGGGATTTCTAATTCTAACCTTATTTAAACCCTAAACCCTGAACCCTAAACGGGATTTCTAATTCTAACCTTATTTAAACCCTAAACCCTGAACC